CCTATAATGTAATATCACCCTGAATTGAGGGTCTTAGAAATTTAAACATTGATTATACTTAGTATAGTTGCTATTGTACTTGTCAAATGTTTCCAAGTACTGACCTCCCCTTCACGGGGGAGGCCACCTCACAGTTTCAGGTAGAACTTGAAGGTTGCTGCCACCGCCCGTTGCTTCGGGAGGATCGAAGGGAGAAGACGTGGTTCGTGCTTCTTCCGTTTCTGTTTTGGGAAAACAATTTAAAACAATGCTCATGGATAATATTTTCTGAATAATTACTTTGGGGGCTTGCATGCCTAATTATGCCAAGTGTGGCTTGAACACTTGTATCAATTGTTTCCGCTGCTTTAATAAATGTTTTACATTATGTTTGTTTATGGATGTACTATGTGTGAATGGTATTCAAAACGCCTTGTATAGTATGGATGAGTCGGACTGCGGTTGACTATTCGTACCGTACGGCGGGTTGTTGACGTGTCCGGGTAGGTCCGGGGCGTGACACAAGAAGCGTGCGGAGAAAGGTGACAATGCCTCAACGCAACTGGCCTCTCCTGCTGTTGACCCTCAGCTTCAGGCCGCGCTCTCGGCCATCATCGCCAGCTTGGCCCAGAACCCCACCATCCTCAGCGCGCTCATGCCAAGGACGGGGGAGAACACGACGCCGCCTCCTTAGCCCCAGCCATTGGCCGTCAACCTAGGCAACGATGAGGGGGTGGTGCCCCAGGACACGACGTCGTCCCACTCCCACCCCGCTTCCCCGCTTCAAGCTGGACTGACCCCAGCGCGTGGAAAAGCCTCAGCCTTTAACAGGCCAGGTGACACGTGCCGTCGGCCTGCTTCGGAGAGGATGGCGGGGCGGATTGGGCAGCATGAGCCTGGCTCACCCAGGGAAAGCTTGGGGTCGGTATCCCGGACAGCGGATCGGCCCCGCCTGGACAAAGGCAAGGGGAAACTGCATGAGGATGATGCCTGTCACCAAATAAACACGGTTCATGCAGCTCGCTTGCAGACTCAGGGTGCCACCATGGCCGCCAGGGACCCCAGGGACGAGGTGATCGCCCAACTCGAGCGAAGACTCGCCCAAATGGAGGCCAAACAGCTGGCCACCACGCCCACCGGCAATTCATCCAGAGATCCCAACTTCAACGCCCTTCTGAATAAGGTCACTATCCTTGAGAGGGAGTTGGCCGAAGGACGAGAGGACCCCATCATCCAGGTCAGGGCGAGGACCCCCTTCACCGCCAGGGTACTCTCGGCCCCTATCCCCGAGAAGTACTGAGGAAACGCCATCAAGCCCTATGACGGCCGCTCCGACAGTCCGACCCCCAGGAGCACTTCAGCCGCTACCAGAACAACATGCTGATGGTGAACGCGTCAGATGAATACCTCCGCTACTGGTTCCTTTCCACTCTTGAAGGGCCAACGTATGAGTGGTTCAACGCACTTCCCGAGGGGAGCATAGACTCATGGCAAGACCTCGCCCAGCGCTTCCTCACTCACTTTGCCGGAAGGAAGCGCGTGAAGAAATACTTCACCCATCTTCTCTCCGTCAAGCAGCAGCATGACGAATCACTCCGGTCGTTCATCGACCGGTGGACGAGGGAGACTGACGAGGTCGAGGGGGCCAATGAGCGCACCCTCCTCGTACTCTTTCAGGGAGCCCTCCGTAGCACCCCATATGCGAGGAGCCTCATCACTGACCCTCCGAGGTCTTATCTGAAGGCGCTTCAATGAGGAAACTTGTACGCGGACGCCGACGAGCTGCACAGCCACAAGAAGGACGGGGGGCACCCCCCCCAAGAAGACAAACGCGATGCCAGCCGTAGGCGCACCCTTGGCCGGGGACTGAGGTCAGGGAGGACAAGGCCGCCATGGATCTGGCGGAAAGAACAAAGACCGTATATGGCGGCCGAGGATGGAGAGGCTGAAGACCCCACTTACCAATTCGGTCAGCACCATCCTCGATTACACCGAGGAGCATGACCTCATTGAGCGAGATCCTCGGCCGGCAAACGAGATCTATGCCGTCCATCAGGGCAGCACCTACTGCCGTTATCACCGGAACACCTCCCACAACACAGACGATTGTGTCACTCTGAAGAGGCACATCGAGAAGCTGTTCGTCAGGGGGAACCCTCCCAGTTTGTTAAAGGTGGCCCACGCAAAAATACGTGGGTAAACACCGACAAACATGGGGGCGAACCCTCTGCGAAGAAGCGGGAGATTGGCAGGCTCAGCAACGACGAAGAAGACTTTGAGGAGCCCCCTCCGAAGAAGAATCACATCCACCTCATTGTGGGGGGCAACACTGGGGGGGGGGGACTCGGCTACCCAGAGGAAGAAATGGACTCAATCCCTTTACATTGGGGAGGTGTCCCACGCTCCCCCCAGCCGAAGAAGCAGCGGACGGAGGCGATCACCTTCACCGACAAGGATCTGCCTCCGGGGGCCCGCGTCACACAGGGACGCCCTCGTCATCCGGTGCGAAATAGGTGACCCCATCATCCACCGCACCTACATCGACACGGGGAGCTCCATCAACGTCATGTACCTTGACACCTTCAGGCAGCTAAAGTTGGACAGAGCGCTGCTCAAGCCGATACGGACACCGTTGTCCGGCTTCACCGAGGACTCTATCGACGCCGAAGGCACGATAGTCCTCCCCGTGGAAGTCGGCGACAGCTCCCATCGCATCAAGATCGACATGGAATTCATGGTGGTCAACCTCGAGTGCACCCACAACTTGATATGGGGACGACCAACACTAGAGGATTTGGAAGCCATTATCTCCATGAAACATCTATGCCTGAAGTTCCCTACTAGCGGCGGTATCGGCTACGCCCGAGGGAACCAGAAGATAGCCCTGGCATGTTACCTTAAACTGACAAAGCCGGCAGCCAGTGTATTATAGAACCTTTGTCTGGATCGTGCCGTCATTCATTTTTTTCGTCAATTCATCATTGTCATTTTTTTTTAAATAGAATCGTGTCAATCATTTTTTATAAGGGGGCCCACACCATGGATCGATTTGGCTCTGATACCATGTTAAGAGCTGGGGTTTCATCCTAAAAGGTCAACCTTATAGGAGGAGTAGCCCATGTCTTAATATAGCACTTCGTTGGCTCAAACATTTCCGGTGTGGGATTCTAACACCCCTCCTCACGACCAGACACTTCGTCAGGATCGTGCCATCAATCATTTTTTCGTCGGTTTTGCCATTGTCATTTTTTTTAATCGTGTCATCATTTTTCATAAGGGGGGCCACACCATGGTTATGGATCGGTTTGGCTCTGATACCATGTTAAGACACGGGATTCCATCTTAAAAGGTCAACCTGATAGGAGGAGTAGCTCATATCTTAATATAGCACTTCGTTGGCTCAAACATTTCCGATGTGAGATTCAACACCCCTCCTCACGATCAGACTCTTTGTCTAGATCGTGCCGTCATTCATTTGAGCGAGATTCGGAAAATAGAAAAAATAAGTTATTGGTGGTTTGAGAAGAGAGATGAAATCAGACGATCTTATTTGATGCTTAAACCTTATCCCGAAACTCAACTTTTACTAAGGCCAAGTTAAAGAACATCGTGTTCACTTAACATTTTAATTTCCCATATTGTATGTACTTAAAGATATTGCTATAAATTTAAATGAATCTTAATTATTATGTTCAAACGTTTTACTCATTTAATATTTTTATATAGTGTTTTTAGTTTACAACCCCCCCCCCCCCCCTTGACCCCCTGTCCTGGCTACGCCCCTTAAAAGAAGCATATGAAGGGGTGTTTGAAGGGGAAAAACTTAGTAGTTAATGACGCTCTTCCGTAGCTAGTTTGAAGAGGGAGAATAAAAATATAGGAATGAGGAGGAGAGGTACCGGGGGGGCACCAGGCAAAGCTGGGTGGAATAATAATTGTACTCTACTTATAGCAGTAACACATGGATTGAATGGGAAAAATGAAAAATTAACATTAAAAAATTTGGGAAAAAAGTAAGTTGCACTGAGCTCAAGCTCACCATAACTCTAATATATTTACGTCCATGCAAAAAGAAGAAGAGGTTCTTGAGGAATAAAGATGGCAAAATATTGAAAATGTATGTATATTGTATGGCCAATAGATACTTGAAAAGATTATCTATTGTATGGCCAAAATAAAGATAGTGAACAAAAACATGACTTAGTAACTTTTAGTGAGTATAACTATGTTCAAATTTTAGTATAACTTAGTATACTATAAAGGTGTATCTATTGTTACTTTGGTCACAATTTGGTTCACATGTTTTATTTTAGTAATATTCTAAGAAAAACATCTAGAAACTTAGGGTACTCAAAAATAACAATTTTATCTCTAAAATTGGAACCAATGTTTGAGTATGGTATCAATATACATTCTAACAATATCTAGTTTTGTATATATTGAAGTACTAATACTTTATATGAATTTCAGTTTTTGTCACTATTTTATCTATGGAATTTGTTTGTGGAATAGTAGTATTATGAATTTCGAATCTTGAATACAATAGCAATGTGATATTTACATAAGCCCATTTTTTGTTATGGTAGTGTTGTTAATGGAAACTTTTTATGTATCATAACCAAATAAAATGCAATTGACACAATTAGAAACTATTGTTTATGTTGGTGTTGTTGATCACCGTTGTATTTACATTTATCATTGACCACTACCATTTCAATCGGAGGCCGTTATATTAATTACTAGTTCACTACTATAATTGGCTAGTTGCCAATCATTTTTGAAACATTGACTACTGTACACTGTGCTGATAAACAATGACACTATTATCGAAACATTAACTCTACATATTGTTGCAAATATTCATGTTGGTAAAAATATATTTTCCAAGTTTAAAAACTTTCATACCTAAATAAAAAAAAACAAAATAGAATCTAGAAAATGGAGAACTAAAAAATTGAAAATAATAATGAAAATTGGGAAATAAATAGAGTAGAAAGACAAACAAAAATTGGAAATTAAAATAAAGTCCCAAAAGCTTCCTTCTTTTCTATTTGGTGCCCCGCGGCACTCGATCCAATTACTATGAAATTGACTGGCAACCCCAAGCGCCACCGTCCTCAGCCGCCATCCCTGATCACAGACAAACTACTTAACGCAGGTGCTTTTCTTCAGCAGAAATACGGAAACTCGAGAATGGAAACGACTACCAATTGCTCCGAGGATTTGTCATCACAGATGGAGCTGGATGCATTTCGGCGTCTTTTCCCCTTGCGTTATCATGAGCGTTATCTTGTTGAATCTATACGACCAGATGGACGAGCACTTGGAGAAGCTAGACATACAGCAGTTGTGCTTGGTTGGTGAATGATCCTTTTGCCTATGTTTTAAACTGTTAGACTTTGAGATTTTTATTTCTAATTGAATATGTATTTTAATATCTAGGCAGTGTGGCATCTGCAAATGGATCTTCACTGGTAAAGATTGGTTCCACAGTAAGTGCTCTACCTTTTTTCTGTATCTTGAAGTAATTAAGCTTATTTGCTTGTTTTGATTAAAAGCCTTTTTCCCGGAAGTTGTGTTTCTCTACTTACTTATCATGTAAAATGTGCAGACAATGTTGGCTGCAATCAAGATGGAAGTCATGACTCCAGCTGCGGAATCTCCTGATGAGGGATCCATAGGTTGGTCATATTTGGGTTTATGTTGTAACTATCATGAACTTTTGATGTATTTCTTGTAAGAAAAATGCTAAATAGCTAGAACCTAGACAATTTTGTGTGTTTGAGATGACAATCATGACATTCCTTTGATTTTAGAGTGCATTTAATATCACTTTTTGACTAATATATACTAACAGGGAATATTGTTGTTCTTATAAATACATGAATTTGTTATTTCAGCGGTTGAATTCTACATGCCTCCAATTTGTTCTTCTCTTGTACGACCTGGTCGGCCCGCGGAGGCAGCTCCAGTAATTTCAAAACAGTTATCTGACGCCATTACTAGGTTGATATGTAGTGTTAGTTCAATGCATTTCAATATCTTTACCGTTAAATTGCATGATGCCTTATTTGTTAGCACTGGTTATTTAAGTGATGCTTCACTTTTTTCTTAACATTTGATCAAATTCAATGCCTTAATGATATAGTCGTGTATTACTTTATCGTGTTTGTTTGGCAACCTCCTAGATTAGTTCTTACAATTTATTTTCTTACACATGTAATATACACTAATTTGTATTATAGAGAAGAAAGATGGGTATAAAATTTGCACAATACTTAGTTTTAAATCATACAAAAAGAGTTCTTGAGAAGTACTTAATTTTCAAATGTCCTGAGGAAGCCATAATTTCCATCATTTGCAATGGAGCCAAAGATTCACTATTTTTTGGCTTGGGAAAATGATGGAATAAAGCAAAATGACTCACTAAACTGTCTGCGCTTATTTGCTATGAAGCAGCAGTCAATCCATGCAATTTTTGACATGATTTTCGCCATGGGTCATCCGGAAACAATCTTTCTGTGCTTTTAGTATAGGAGTAAGGCTGCGTACATCCGACCCCCCTTACCCCACCATAGGTGGGAGCCTTTTCGGCACTGGGGTAATGATGATGTTGATATTGATGTCCTTAGGAAGCCATAAAAGAAAGATAATCTAGGATTAATAAAATCTTTAAGATCAGACGGTGGGGGGCTGGGCTAAGTGGCCTGACCCCGTGTGACAAAGGATACAATGTCAGCTAGAAGATTTCTGTTGTTACCTGTTATCTCTAGTAATTTACGTCTTGTTCCTACTTCCTAAAAAGGATATGAAATCTCAATTTGGTTTTGGTTGTTTGTTCCCTATGCTCACTGTTTGAACTCTTACTTTTTTTCGTGGAATGATATATGGTGCTGACAAAATGAAACTTACCTAGTTCGGGCATGGTTGACTTCAAAGAACTCTGTGTGGTTAGTGGAAAAGCTGCTTGGATGGCATACCTAGTAAGTGATTTAGTTATTTAATTATTTCTTGTTTTATGCGTGTTCTGGCTTTTAAAACCACTTTCATGATCTAGCCTTTGAAATTGTTATATTTAAAGAACAAGAGAAACTTTAATGTTCCGAAGATCTTCAGACTTATGCCGGATGTTACTCCATTATGTTATCAGACACATATTTCAGTTTTTAAAAAATGGGCTTAAATGTTTAATATCTGTTTTCCCCAGTAAATTTATAGTTCCCAATGTGTATTCGTCTGTACTTTTTGTGTGTGAATATTTAATAATCATTTAACAGGACATATACTGCTTGGACGCTGATGGTGCTCTGTTTGATGCTGCATTACTTGCAGCAGTTGCTGCCTTTTCACATTGTGCGTGCTATGGTTTCACATCTCTTTCAGTTATAGTATTTGGTAGATAGATTCATAGAGCGCTAGATAGAGTCGTAGAGCGCAATAAGTCTCAATGTAAAATATCTAACTTACCAGCCTCCGCCATCCATATTCTTTGTTATATCTGAATCCTGAAAAATAATTTGCCAAGACTTTATGAATATTGAAGTCCATAAAAGTATCCATTAGCTCGAACAATTTCATGTAAGGTTCAATTTGAATTTCTTCATCTCACAAGTCCATTTAAATTTATTGGCATTATTCCCCATGTCCCTATTCAAATCTCTTCATTGACCAGATTTGTTTGTTTCTTTTCTTCTGTCCTTTTATGATATCTATGCGCATTAAATAATTTCTTCCATATTTTACCCTTCTCCCCCTTTTTATGAATGAAAATAGTTAAAGTTAGCTAGTAATTGATCTGCACTAGATTAGGGCACTAAAAAATTCTAACCTTGACCGCATTTATAAAAACAAGCTTTTGTTGCCGTTCTTTTTGCCCCTTTTTGAAAAAAAGATTTTATCTTTCTGCTGCAGTGGAGATTCCTCCAGCTTCTTTGGATGATGACGGGATAGTAGTTCTTGGTTCTAAAAACAAAAACAAAAAGGATGTAATGGATGAAAATGAACCGGTCTCTAAAGAAGGGAAGAGAAAACTGAATATAAATAGTGTTCCGTTCTCATTGACATGCCTACTCCACAAAAAAAATATCCTAGCAGACCCTACAGCAGAGGAAGAGTCTGTAATGGAAACTGTTCTTACTGTGGTATTGGATTCATCGTATCAAATTGTATCCCTTAACAAGCCAGGAGGGGCTGTCCTTGCCCACAGTTCAACTATCAAGGTGAGTCTCCATGTTAATCTTTGTTTGCTGCAACTTGGAGACGTTGGAGTGCAATTAAAATGCTATCGTCTATTTTGTCTATTTTACTTCACATTATATAATACTCCCTCCGTCCCGGTCATTTCTTCCAACTTTCCTTTTTGGGTTGTCCCAATTAATTCTTCCAACTTCCATTATAATACTACAACCATACATTTCCACTTTATTCCCACTATCTAAATTTGCGAGCCAAGTCAATTTAGGAAGAACTCACCGGGACGGAGGGAGTAACTATTTTTTCTGCAATTGATAACGTCTAAGATAAAAGTTTTGGGTTGAAAATATCGAAACAAAAAGAAGTTCATATACGCAAACTTCTAAACAGTTCAATAAACTATAGTGTGCTTCTAACAATGTGCCGCCGATAACTTCTTCAAATGCGGACAACTGGAAGAGTATAGAGTAGGGCTGTAAACGAGCCGAGCCCGAACACCCAAAGCTCGAGTTCGGCTCGATAAAGAATTAGTGGTGTTCGGGTTCGAGCTCGAAGCTCGATGAGCTTTACAAACGAGGCTCGTGTTCGGTTCGTCAGGCGTTCGATGTTCGAACCGAGCCCTCGATAAGCTCGATAAATATACTTGAATTTAAAATTTTAGGTGATGCTCGTTAATAGGCTCGACAAGTATTCGGTTCGTTAAAAATCATACTAATTATTTTTAAATTTTGAAATATATATGTTATATTTAAATTCCAGGTGTTCGATAGGCTCGAGTTCGAACCGAGCCAAATACTACTATGTTCGAGCTCGGTTCGATTAAGTTTTCGAACTTAAAACTCACCTCGGGTTCGAGTTCGAAAGCTCGTTAAGCTCGGTTCGTTAGGTTCGAAACCAAGCTCGAACTCGAATAGTTCGATAAAAGCTCGGTTCGTTTACAGCCCTAGTATAGAGCCGTCTAGTAAATGTGAAATTTGGCATGAATCTTTTGATACTGTGGTTGAAATGGGTGAATGTACTAATTGAGTCATGCTACCTAAAAATGCATTTGAAACATACGGTTTTTTATAAGATAATGTTTATAAAAATGCATTTAAACAATGAAACATAATGCAGTGAAATAATATTTAAAAGAGGATAGTAGAAGTTTCATACTGTTATAGTGTTATTATCTTCATTTTCAACAATTTATGCCAACAAATAACTTTTGCACTACTTTTATTTATTTATTTATTTATTAAGCAATGCATTAAAATACTGTCAATAGGCATTTGCTTGACGAGTTGGCTAATAAGCGGATTATGTGAGTAATCAAAAAAGATAAATTGACAATAATGCAGTATTATTAAAAACTTGTGACCTTGTGTTGCATGCTATTTGATGGCAATGCTCATCCCTAAGCTGTAATTTGAACTTTTCAGGATTGCTTTGCATTGACAAAACAAAGAGTCAACCAACTAAAGAGTATACTGAACGAGGCAATATCTGATATGGATGTGGACTAAAAAATGAAAGCTTTAATGTGCATATGTTCATCTCTGCAACATGTTCCGTCTACAAGTGTTTTTTTGCCTGAAGCCTCTCATCCTTGTCTTTTCCAAGGGATTAGTACATATAGCAGAGTGGTGCATTAGTGAATTGCACGTTTGAGACCATAGCTCTCATTGAAACAGTAGGAAATTTTTGGATATCTATTACGCACGGCCTTTTTTCTTCAATTGGGGCACAGAGACCGCTGGTTTGCTGTGACGGGTGAATTTGTTTGCCCTGGGCCCTGGGGGCCGGGGTTTGACTCAGAGCAATAGTGACGGATTACAAGTGATTTTGTAGTGTATCAAATAAAACTGCAAATTATATCGTGAAGTCGGTTGTACCATGCACACGGTACAATCGGGCTTTTTGTTGCACACGTGCTTTGCTTATCGCTGTTACACAGATGGATGGCTCCCCGCTTGCACCTAGATCCGCTGCTCACTGCTTGCACCCTAATGGCTGTTCACCCCTTGCACCTCAGACCGATGCCTTACAACTCGCATCCCAGACAGACAGTTCGTTGTTCGCACCCAGACGACCACACATTGAAATGAAAGAACTAAGATTTTTAACATTTGAACTCCACTCATTAACGCATGTTTTTCGGTTTGGACTTCATGAGTCTCCACATCCACATCCTAATCCCTACAGCTAAATTCAAATTTGTGAGTTGATAAATCATGCTTTCTCCATCTATTTATGATCAGGAGTAATGCCAACATGTGAATAATCCATTCTGCTCTTTCAATATTTAAATAAAACATATTATTCAAACAAACAGAAGGCTAATAGTCCTCATATTTCATTAATGATTAAAACTAAAAGTAATAACACAACTTTATTTATAAAAAAATAAAGCAAAAAAACACATAAACAAATAAACAATTTTCTCGGATAATGATAAAAAAATTCAAAATATAATTATAGTATAATTATATTAATATGCACGCAGAAATGGTGAAGAAGAGTAGGAAAATATGTCACGATAATAAAAGAAGCTCTCATTCTCACACTTAACAAAACATTATAACAACAGTTTTTTTGTGATAACCACAATTAAGTATGTATACAAATCATACATTCTAAAATACTTCTTTATATACGACATTATTGGTCTTGTTTGTGCTTTCATTATTATCAACTATGACTAAAATCTTCAATCCTTTTGGACTCGTGACTCTGGAAACTGCTACATACAACTGTCCATGACAAAAAATCGGCTTCTTTAACAATAAACCAACATGCGAAAGAGATTTCCCTTAACTTTTATTTATAGTCATAGCATAAGAAACCATGATCGAGAATTGCCTTCTTTGAAATTTAAAAGGAAGTCTCACGTCTGAAGGAGTCAATGACAATCTCGGAATCAATACTTGTTGCCCCATACTTCTTCTTGTCAAAACCTTTGCCTCCAATATGTGGTCACCAAGTCTTGTAATAATCAGTCTCGTTCCATTACATAGCCCCATAGAATGATCTATGTTACGCAAAAACATGACTGGAATTCCAACTTTCAATGTGAGTTCATGATTGAGCACACCTGAGATACAGATATTATTTAAGAATTCCGGTGTATGCAAATCCGCTAAAAGATCAACATTAGAATCCGATTTACAAATACTATAAGAACTGAAGTATGTTCTTGAAGGCTGTGAAGTGTTTAAAGAAATCATATAGTCATTTATTTCATCCACAACGACAAGAGTCTGGATCATGCCGTCATTCATTTTTTTCGTCAATTCATCATTGTCATTTTTTTATAGAATCGTGTCAATCATTTTTCATAAGGGGGCCCATACCATGGATTGATTTAGCTCTGATACCATGTTAAGACCTGGGTTCCATCCTAAAAGGTCAACCTTATAAGAGTAGCCCATGACTTAATATAGCACTTTGTTGATTCAAACTTTTCCGGTGTGGGATTCTAACACGCTCAATTTCTACCGCATCACAAACTACTTCCTCTTGAACGAGTGAAATAGTTAGAGTTTCAATCAAGTCATTTGATTGTTATTTGTTTTCTGTATTTGTAGTAGACTTAAAAAACAATGCAATGTGATTTTTGCCTTTTCAAACATATTATTCATATTTGGGTAGCCATACCTAATTAAATTGAAAACAATTAATAAAATAATCTTACATTTTCAAACATATTATTCATATTAATATGTTAAAAAAAATCACAATCCTAATTTTCAATTTTACAAATGAAAACACGACACAAATTATTCACCAAAACTACAAGAAATTCACAATTTACATTCTAAAAAAATCGTATAGGTGAAAACAGTCAAACACTCAATCTAAAGAATCATGATTCCAAGTTACAGAGTATTAGATACTTAATTAAAATAAAAATATTTAATAATAAACACTAATGAGTTATGAGTCCCACACCATGGTTATGGATCAGTTTGGCTCTGATACCATGTTAAGACACGGGATTCCATCCTAAAAGGCCAACCTGATAGGAGGAGTAGCTCATATCTTAATATAGCACTTCGTTGGCTCAAACATTTCCGGTGTGTGATTTAACACCACTCCTCACGACCAGACTCTTTGTCTGGATCGTGCTGTCATTCATTTGAACGAGATTCGGAAAACAGAAAAAATAAGTTATTGGTAGTTTGAGAAGAGAGATGAAATCAGACGATCTTATTTGATGCTTGAACCTTATCCCGAAACTCAACTTTTACTAAGACCAAGTTAAAAAACATCGTGTTCAGTTAACATTTTAATTTCCCATATTGTATGTACTTAAAGATATTGTTATAAATTTAAATGAATCTTAATTATTATGTTCAAACGTTTTACTCATTTAATATTTTTACTAGTGTAACACTCGGGGCATGCCCCGGTAGTTTTTTAGGCTTGTTATTATATTTTTATGAGCACATTAGGTTTTTTAATGAGATGAACACATTAGTTGAAAAAGGTTTGTAGTGTGTAAAGAAATAAGGTTATAGCGAAATGAAAATATTCATGTGCTAAGTATTATTGATGTGGTTTAAAAGAAAATTACACATTTTGAAAGACCTCTTTGTACACAACATTCGTTGTTGTATTGCAGCCTTCTCCTCCACCCAACAAAATTTTCAACCCATTTCTGCTCTTGACTCTTGAAACAGCCACACATAGTTGCCCATGCGTGAATATCCTTTTTTCCAAGTAAAGTCCAACATGTGATAATGTTTGCCCTTGACTTTTGTTGATGCTCATCGCAAAGCATACTAAAACGGGGAATTGTTTCCTCTGAAGTTTTATGTGCAATGTTGTATCTGTTGGGCATAAATTCATCCTTGGGATTAAAATTGTATTCCCTTTGCTTGGCCCGGTGAGGACTTTGGCTTCCAAAACACGTTTACCCAGTTTTGTTATCACCGCTCGTGTTCCGTTGCATAAACCTGCAGATTGATCAATGTTGCGCAATAATATTACAGGGACACCGATTTTCAGGCTAAGCACATGATTTGGCAATCCAGATATTGAAATACTATTTAAATATTCTTGAGGATATATGTCATCCTCTCCAGAACTACTTGCAGCAGTAGGACAAATGCTATCATAACTGAAATATTTTACTTCTTGTTCTGGTAGCATTGAAAGAATGTAATTGTTTATGCCCTCTACTATATCCAAAGTTGGTGCCAGGATCGCCCTCTCTTCCAAGTAGTCAAAATTTGATAGATTGTTTTGCAAGTCTGGATAAGTACTATCAACAATGGCTTTGAAGTGATCCCCATTTGAGTGGATTAACAAATCAATTGGTAGTTCAACTTCAATGCTTCTATCAGACTCCTTACCGATAGTGCCCTCGCCAATCTGTAATATCCATTTAGCAAATCGTTCAATTTCTTCCTTGTCTGTTATGTTGGTGTGTTACATTAACCACATATTTATTGTGACGTGCATGACTTGAACACAATCCCATAGGTATGATGAGTTTATTGCTGACATGACAATTTCTTCACGTGTGCCTTTAGGGATACTGGGAGTGTCTGTCTAAAATCTCCTCCAAGAACAACAATTTTTCTACCAAAGGGCAGCTCTTCATTCTTCGGATTTACTGCTGAACATATACCTGAGTGTATATGTGTGTGTGTGTGAAATGTATAAAGTTTCATTAAAGCATTAATTTTATAGTTATATACCTGAGTGTTTTCTGCCAAAGTACGTAAGATTGATGAGCTTTGAGTGAGGGTTGAAACAGCAAAACAACGACTTGTATACCCATTAGGAGGTGTTGTCATAATGGGGGAGGTCACTGACTTGAAGATGCAGAATGCTAATCTGAAGGCTGGAGATACAAACAACAGATTGAAATTATTCCTTGCAGATGAAGAGTAAGTCTTTTTAAGTATTTTTAATTTTATATATCTATCCTATTTATCATTCAATAAATTATACTTTATTGTATTATGATCATGCTTCATTCACCCCTCAAAAGAGGGTCCCAGATTATCTGTTATTTGTGGGATAAATTTGGTGAAGAAGCACATAGCAGAATCAAACAACATAAAGAAAAAAAGAAGGAATTTCCTTTTGCGATTCGTTTATGCTTTGGAATAATTAAAGACTCGCAAGGTATTTAGATTTATGAATTACAGTATAATTTTTTATTCATGTGCAAAAATATAATTACTGATTCTAAAACAACTTATTATAGACGAGATTTCAGTTTCCAGTTGGTTTAACGCCTCTAGAATTCAGTTTAGAGAGGACGACAAAGTGATTTCACAATTTGGTGACAGGTATTAAAAGAATATTTTAATATCTATAACTCACATGTGTGTATACTGATCATAAGTTTATTTTTGTCTTAAGAATTGAGAAATTATTTCCAAAAGTAACAGAGAGGTTAATACTAAGCAATGACCCTCCCAAATCTGAAGAGGACATTTTTCTTCACCAGTATCACAAATTACCAATCAACCAATTGCTTGAGATTGAAGTGGTAAATAATCACCACTATACACTACTCATGCAACAAAACTTTATTACAAAATTTAGATTAATCTATCTGAATATTGTTTAAGATACTATAATTGTGCATTTCTACAGACATGAAAGCACCTTGTGGTTGGTACTATATTAGGAGTCTCAATAGATAAAGGTTGGTTCTTTAATGCATGCCCTAAATGTGTCTGTAATGTACGTTTAGTTGATGGCAAGTTTAAATGTGATCATTGCAATGAAGATTCTATCAAGATTTGCAAGAGGTAAAATGTTGAACCTTTTCTCTTATTTTCAAGTTAATTATGCTAATCAATTATTGTGCTCATAATGCATATAAATTAAAATCAAATGTACATTACTCACCAGATATAAGCTCAAATTGAGGGTTCAAGACTCTTCTGGTTTCACATACTTTATGGTTTTCGATAAAAGAAGGAAATCAACTCATTGGTCTATCTAGCGCAGACCTGTTCAGAAATATGGTAACCATATAACTGCTGATTTTGTTATATACATAGTTATCCACAACTCATAATTTAAATAGTTCAAATATTCACACATAAAATCCATTGTACATTTTTCAAGAGGAGAACAAAGGAGACGCATTCTCAGATGAATTTTTATCCTTAGAAGGGAAAGAAGTAGCATTTATTGTGAAGACAACACCTCCTAATGGGTATACAAGTCGTTGTTTTGCTGTTTCGGCCCTCACTGAAAGCTCATCAATCTTACTTACTTTGGCAGAAAACACTCAGGTATATAACTATAAAATTAATGCTTTAATGAAACTTTATACATTTCACACACACACACACATATATATATACGCTCAGGTATATGTTCAGCAGTAAATCCGAAGAATGAAGAGCTGCCCTTTGGTGGAAAAATTGTTGTTCTTGGAGGAGATTTTAGACAGACACTTCCAGTAATCCCTAAAGGCACACGTGAAGAAATTGTCATGTCGGCAATAAATTCATCATACTTATGGGATTGTGTTCAAGTCATGCACCTCACAATAAATTTGAGGTTAATGCAACACACCAACATAATAGACAAGGAAGAAATTGAACGATTTGCTAAGTGGATATTACAGATTGGCAAGGGCACTATCGGTAAGGAGTCTGATAGAGGCATTGAAGTTGAAAAACCGAATGATTTGTTAATCCACTCAAATGGGGATCACTTCAAAGCCATTGTTGATAGTACTTATCCAGACTTGCAAAACAATCTATCAAATTTTGACTACTTGGAAGAGAGGGCGATCCTGGCACCAACTTTGGATATAGTAGAGGGCATAAACAATTACATCCTTTCAATGCTACCAGGACGAGAAGTAAAATATTTCAGTTATGATAGCATTTGTCCTAGTGCTGCAAGTAGTTCTGGAGAGGATGACACATATTCTCAAGAATATTTAAATAGTATTTCAATATCTGGATTGCCAAATCCTGTGCTTAGCCTGAAAATCGGTGTCCCTGTAATATTATTGCGCAACATTGATCAATCTGCAGGTTTATGCAACGGAACACGAGCGGTGATAACAAAACTGGGTAAACGTGTTTTGGAAGCCAAAGTCCTCACCGGGCCAAGCAAAGGGAATACAATTTTAATCCCAAGGATGAATTTATGCCCAACAGATACAACATTGCACATAAAACTTCAGAGGAAACAATTCCTCGTTTTAGTATGCTTTGCGATGAGCATCAACAAAAGTCAAGGGAAAACATTATCACATGTTGGACTTTACTTGGAAAAAAGGATGTTCTCGCATGGGCAGCTATATGTGGCCGTTTCAAGAGTCAAGAGCAGAAATGGGTTGAAAATTTTGTTGGGTGGAGGAGAAAGCTGCAATACAACAACGAATGTTGTGTACAAAGAGGTCTTTCAAAATGTGTAATTTTCTTTTAAACCACATCAATAATACTTAGCACATGAATATTTTAATTTCGCTATAACTTTATTTCTTTACACACTACAAACCCTTTTCAACTAATGTGTTCATCTCACTAAAAACCTAATGTGTTCATAAAAATATAATAATAAGTCTAAAAAACTACCGGGGCATGCCCCGGGTGTTACACTAGTTAGTCTTAGTAGCAAGTACAACGATGTTGTTATAGTAGTCTACCATTATGCGGAGTTAGCAATCTGGCCTAGTCTTATGGGGCTAGTGAGTTCTATGTCTCACTCTAGGGTGCTCTGAGCTATTGCTCTGCTTTGTCTATTGGTACCTTCATTATTATTAATAAATGAGTGTTTTTCTTTAAACCAAAACAACATTTCTATTTCAGCAATTTCGTCCAAAATCGCAAGGGTAGATATGATCGATTTCTTACCAAATTAAACAATACGTGTCTGCATTTTAACTTATTGAAAACACTTAATATTATTGATTGAAATTTCATTTTCCAAACACACCCTTAATTTTGTAGTTTTAGTGAGATGTCAATATTAATCTAATAATTCCTTATTTGGAGATTAAGGATGTTTTTACCCGGACTGGAATTTTCCGGTATGGTCTGGTCTGATCTGATCTGGTCTGAACTGATCTGGTCTAGTTTGGTCTGATCTGGTCTTGTCTATGATTGAAAACAGTCCTATTAAAAACATCCTAAATTCTATACCAAATAAATATGTACATATTAAGGACTTCTCCAATAGAATGTGCAGTTTTCAGAAAAAACTTCAACTAAAATGTTGCCTCTAACTTGGAGTTGCCTTAGAAAAATGTTAATTCCCTAAACGTAGATAAAATTATTAGTTACAAAATATAATGAGCAAGTTATGATCGTCACATAAATAATTATATTCAGATATTTTCACTTGTAAAGAAGGATATTCTTACTTGTATTGTAATTCTATTGTCCAGTTCGATTTAGTAAAGGTCTGATATATGTGTAATTTATTATTGATTTAGTCTAATTTGGTAAGATCTATTGTGTGACTCAAAACTCCAACTAAGCACATCGATCCTCAATGTATTGATAAGTTGGTAGAGGGTTGGATAAAAATTGTCAAACAGAAATGCTATTGAATAGAATAGACTTGTTTAATTACACAGTTAATATATTGATGGTACCATGGACTCTGACCATGACCCAATTACGTAGTCCAGAGTGGGATCAGCCTTTAGAGGGATTAACCTAATTAACAGGAGTAGCCTGCAAACGGGATCGAGCCCTGAACGGGATTCATATTAAATAAGCTGCTAAGCCCAAATAGGAATCAGGCCGACGATAGGAACCCACAGTCGGGCCAGGCTGGATGGCAGACCTCAAGCCTGGGCGGAGTTCTAGTGAGGTTGGGATATTCCTAGGGTTTACGTGGCAGACTAGTATTTGAGCATAGGCTTGGGGAAGATAATCATTGCATAATGGTCGAGACGCTACAGGAGTTCTATTCGAATTAATATATGCTCCGTAATTAATAGCATTAAATGTAGTAGTTTCCTCCTAGAATAGTTCTTGTAGTCTATAAATACTTCCTATAAGTCTCCCAAAAAGGGATCGGTCAATCATTCTCACGAATAATAATAGTACTGCCTTACGCTGCCATATATCAATATCTTTAGTAGATTTAGCTCTAATAGCTGGATTAAACTCCATCATTTGGTGCTTTCATTGAGAGCCGAATCTGCAAGACGATGGTGGGATCCAGTGGCCACAGCCGTATGGGTAGAAACCAAGGTGGCGACCGTTTGTCCGTTTCCACCAGGTCGCGATCAAGGGTGATGGTTCGAGGTCACGACGGAGTGACTTCCGAAGACGCAACGACAACGTCGCCGCTCCGGGCGATCTGAGGACCCAACTCCAAGGCGTGGGGAGCTGCAGGAGAACGACGGTGCGGCCATTGCACTTTCAGACGCCAGGTACCGGACACAATATCCCCAACGTGGACCCGACGCAAGCCCTAGCAAGTTTGGCCACGTTTCAAAGAGCAGCGGCCACGTCTTCCAAGGCATCATCTGTGATCCTGCGGGGAGACCTTTCTCCCCCCGTCGGGCTCCATCCATAGCCCGGCAGGGAGGGGAAATATCTCCTCAACAACCTAGGGATTCTCCACCGGCTAGGTCTCAGCGCTCCCACCATTCCGGAATGACCCCAAGGGTTCCTGTGGTGAATCGAATAAGTGAACAGCGAGTCTCTGTCCACGATAGGCTCTCCTCTAGGGCCGAGCGCAGTGAAGAGACTAGACCTCTTCAGCTGCCGTTTCATCCCGTCGCCGCAGCATGCGTAGGGGAGATCTCCGAGACGAGATCAACACGAATAAGCGGGCTCGGAGAGATCGCCGATCTCTGTTGCCTATCCAGGCATGTCATTACAATGACGACCTCAGGAGGAGGCTGGACGAGCTCAGAAGAGAGATGGATGGTAGAGTCGGTCTCTATCATGGTGTAAGGATCCCCGAGCCTTTCACGCGTCAGATTATGGACGAGCCATTACCACAGGGGTACCGGCCATGCAACATTGAGGCCTACCGAGGAAAAACTGACCCCCGGCACCACGTATCCAGGTACGTAGATTACTGATCATGATGGGATATGATGACGCCATCAAGAGTAGAGGATTCTCGGTGACTTTAGGCGGACCGACCCGGGAGTGGTATGATTCCCTGCCAGACGGGGGAATAAGAAACTTTCAGGAATTAGCACACGCGTTCGTAGCACATTTTGCTACCCCTAAAGGCTCCAAGAAGGACGTCTCTTGCCTCTTGGGAATCAAGCAAGGCCCCCAAGAGACCCTGGTTGATTTCCTAGCCCGCTGGAGGGATGAGTCAGTCAAATTAGAAGATCTGGACGACAAATCTGTTGTAGCTATTTTCACCAACGCCCTGAGGTCGGGTGAGTTGTACAAGGACTTCATACGAAATCCCCCGACCTCGCACGAGGAAGCCTTACTGCGCGCCAGTGCACAAGCCGAGGTAGAGGAAGCCGAGAAGCGGAAGAGAAACGAAGAGACCGGGAGGCCCCAACCCGATGGAGAAAAG